GGGTAGCTTCCCTTCGATCCTTGCATGTCTCCCTCCCGTTACACCTCCTCCACCTCACGCAGACACTTGGCGAAGCCCTGCCGGAATTCCGCTGCCACCACCAGCACGCCGCTATGTTGATTCCGATCACATCTACCTCCTCTACCTTGCTTGTTGGATCAAGAAGGAGAGCACGCCGTCGAGCTGAACATGTGTTAATCTCGGAGGTGCCGTCCGTTCGGCACTAGATCGAATTGGATCGCGATTGGATCATGAAGAGTACATCTACATCAACCACGTTACGACAAGCTTTCGGTCTACAAGGGTATATAGACACACTCTCCTCTTGTAGCTATGCATCTCCTAGATTTGATCTTGGGTGCTCGTAGGAAAAATGATTTGCATGCAACGTTCCACATCAAGAACGTCACATGCACTGCCAAAATCATGAGTTTGGGATACTTCGATATTCCTGCTCCGACCTCACAAGTGGCGGGAATAATCGATATGCATGAGAAAACATCATCTCATATTGCCACTACCTTCGTTGTCCTCGCACGTAGTAGTAGATTACACCGTTGTCAAGGACATGGCCACCGTCATGCACCGCCATTTGCGATACTGATCACAAACCTCACCCGGTCCGAAGGTCCAAGCCCCTCCAACCTTGCAACCACTACTGCAGGAATGCCTAGCAGAGGTGGGCGGCAAAAGCGCTGGAGTGGCAGGCGAGGCTCCCAGGGGCGCCCGCCACAGAACTCCCGCCACTGTAATACTTGTATCAGTGGTGGGAGCGCGCCCGCCACTAGTAGACTCTGTAGTGGCGGGCTTGCCAAGAACGCAGCCACCGGTAAGTGTGGTAGCTCTGGCTGGTTGTTTGTAGCACCTTCCACTGAATGTCAGCCACATCAACATTTATGTTGCCATGGTTGTGTTTTTCATACAACCATATCAAAATACATTTATTTCGATAAGAAACTACGAAATATTGATGCCATGGTTGTGTTCTCACTCATGACTACAAATGCCCCAACTAAATATTCCTAGCTGGCTAGGAGCCATTACATAGCAGGGAAAAAAGATCCGCGGTACAAATATCCACTACTTAATTAGTCCAGATCATGACAAAGTAATAGGACCTACTCCTATATTTTAGGATAAATTAAAAAAAGTAAGAAAAACCCTGCATCTTCATACTGGAGCTCAGCGATTCATCCATCTCCAATTTCTGATCTGCACTCATTCAATATTTGCCGTTCTTCACCAATTTTAAGCCATCCATCTCATCGGTCTGTAGTCGAGAATGTGTCTTTTAAATTGGTCTTTTGATGACAAATAATTATCATCTCACCTTTCACATCCATCGATGTAGGCACAACAACTCTTGGGAGCTTCGTTGAAGAACAACATAGTGGCATAGTAAGAAGTGTAGTTTATTTAAAATGGACTAGTGGCTCATCCCAACCAATCAGCGTTCATCCAAGGTCGGTTCATTTTGGATGGCGTTTTGGTGTTCCATGTGGTACTCCATGAAGTAAAGGTCAAACACCAGTAGGTCGTTTTCGTAAACATTGACTTCCATACTGCATACGACACCATCCATTGAATCGGAAGGGCTTCGACGAACACTGAATCATCACACATGTTATGCAGTTGTTGTAACACCCCTGCCACAGCCACCGGCTCCTGGTTGTTACGAATGGAGGGATCTAGACTAGCCCCACAAACCAACACACTAGTCTATCCTGCGCACTTTGTTCTCAGTCATGCGCATCCGGGACCAACTTGCCGATCTGTCACCCATCCCAGAATTACTCCAAGCCAGGCACACTTAACTTTGAAGTTCTTTTTGACTATGCTCCTAGAAAAGAATAAATTCCTTGTTGATATGAGTAGTCTATCATTCATATTAAGCCATGCTCTCACATTTGGTCTCCTCTGGTCGCACCACTATAAGCATTAACGGTGAGGTCGGGCCCTTCTTCCCCACCCAATGCGGTGTCAGGCATGGTGACCCGTTCTCCCCCTTCCTATTTAACATGTTGGACACCCTAGCCACTATCCTAGACAAGGCCAAGGTTGTTGGTCACATTCGTGGCGTCGTATACCACTTACTAGGAGGGGAGGGGTATCCCTCTTGCATTATGCGAATGACGCCATCATTATGGTGGAATGCTCTGAGTAGGAAAATGTGAACCTCAAGTTCCTCCTTTTGTGCTTCAAGTAGATGTCTAGTCTCACTATCAACTTTGCTAAGAGTGAGGTGATGGTACTCGGCTACCCTAGCGACGAGCGCCAACGCATTGCAGACCATCTAAACTGCGCCCTTGGATCCTTCCCCGCATCTTATTGGGGATTACTATTAGTGATTCGCGACATTCCGAAGTAGCATTGTGTTTAGGCACCGCTATAAATGCACACTAGTGGGGATTCCGGACCCTCGGGAATGTTTGAAACCCATTTGTCTCAAGTCTTATTTACATCACCAGCTATTTATTTCAGTTGATTTATTCACCTTTATACTTGCAACTTCTTCTTTACTATTATTACTGTCCTTGATGCTTACAATTTTTATGCACATCATTTGCACCATGCAAAGGAGAAAAGACTGATTCATGTGCTCCCTATGGGATCGATACTCTTACTTCGGAAAGAATACAACTAAACCATGTGCACTTACAGGATATCAGCGGTTAGAAGCCCTCATCAGATCGAGAGGGAGGTGATTGGGAGGGAGGAGATCTAGAGGGAGGGGGTCGAGGAGAGGGGTGACGACAACTAGAGGGGGGAGGAGACGAGGAACTCAAGTCCTGTGCTCCATCTACATGCTTGCTAATCAAGCACCTTCATACCTTACTCAAGCAAGACATCTTCCGAAGGACATTATCAGCTGTCGCTTCCTATCCTGCATCATCATCATCATAATCATCATCATCCGGTTGGCTAGTGCCAGGTGACCAAATTTAATCAACAAACTAACAAACAAACGCGGCAGCTCCTTCAGTAAAATGCTCATTTAATTGATGGTAATACAACAAAGGACTAGGAAAGCATCTATACCTAATAAAAAGAGGTTCTTGCTTCTGGCGGTACATCATGAAAATAGATCCAAAATTACAAAATATTACCCACCGATATCACCAATAAGTGATAAAAAGAAATTTCACACAGGGGAATCGCCAACCTGGGCCGACCCATGCAGTAGGGACCTCCTATACCGAGCTCGGCACCCTCTGAGAAGACGCAGCCCGCCCGTTTGGGCCGGCCCTAGTCCAGGCAGCCAATTTTATAAATTTGTTTTTCAATTTTTCTTTTTCTTTTTTGTTTCCTTTTTTAATTAAAATAATTTGGGTCGTCAAAAAAATCTGAAAATTAAAATAATTGAGAATTATTAAATGAAATGTTTAATAAATTATCAAATGGTTGTAGATATAAAAAAATGTTCGTGATTTTGTTAAAAAATACATAATAAAAAATGTTATAAATTCTGAAAACAAATATTTGGGAAATAAAAAATGTCACTCGATTTTAAATTTTGTGTACTAAAATGTTTTCATAAAATTGAATAAAATCTGGCCAATTCGAACAATGTTCATGAATGGAAAAATATCCTGAAAATTCAAAATCTCTTCATGACTTACCAAAAAAGATCATGCATTTCAAGAAATATTTGTTAAATCAAAAAATTGTACGTTAAATAGAAAAAACTGTTCATGAATTTCAAAAATTGTTCCACCAATTTCCAAAAAAATATTGACAATTTTTAAAAATGTTTGCAAATAGAACAAAATGTCCATGAATTTGAAAATGGTTCTTAGAAAATGGTCAACAATTTGTAAAGTGTTCACTAATTTGAAAAGGTTCATGCTTTCAAATATATTCATGAGTTTAAACAAGTGTTCATGATTTCACGAAATTGAGAGTGATAATGTATTTTGGTGATGCAGAGAAAAATGGCCATTGTAATTGGAGATTATGAAAAAAAAAATCTCCCGTTGCAACGCACGGGGCCCTTTTGCTAGTGATTTACGAGGTAAGGAGATGTTGTACGATACATATGCCGGTGTTCATGATTAATGACTGTATATTTTACCAGCAACGAACATAACTAGTCTATGTAAATAGCGAGCGACTTAACTTTTTGTTGATACTACAGACTCCTTAACCAGTTAATCTAGTCTTTTGTGGTGACAACATTCTTTTCTGCAAACTGTTGCCACCTGAAGCTAAAATATAGATTCGAATTTAACATTCACACTAATTGAAGGATGTGAAACCAATACATTGGTGTCCTATTATAAGTTCCTGTCTGATACATTTGTGGCCTGATTTTGCTCATAAAGCTGCTTAATTGTTTGAAATGAAGGGGACTATGGAAGTTCTTATAAATACCACCAAAATAAGCTTGAGAAACCAATCCCGAAGCATCTGAATCCTGAAAAATTAAGATAGCCTGAATTATTTACAGTTGAACTCTTCTGCATTTATTAACTGTTGCTGCTGAAACAAGAAACGACAAAACTAGAAAAGGAAACACAAAATGCTCACAGCAGCAGCAAGCCAGCAACTCGCAGAAACACAACCAGCAATCAGTCAAGACGCAGAAATACCTACCACACTGAGTACATTTGTAGTATGAGTTTGTAGCAGGCAAAAGCTGACCAACTTCAAATTCTTTCACACTAAGTACTAATAGGGAACTTATGAAATTTAGAACTATATACATCAAGGTTGCAGAAGTCACACAGAATCACCACAGAAGCACTGCTATACTGAAACATGCCAAATGAATTAGCAAACACCACAAATATCTCTTGGACATGAGATATCTTAACTTGTGACAAGTGCTCACGTATGCGCATCTGATTTGATGGTGTACTCAATATGCATCCTCACAAACCCAAGAGAGTATTTGTATTATCATTATGCACCAACAGAGACAGAGTGGTTAACTGGCCATATAAATGAAAACATAAAAGCGATACATCATGGACAAAGAAAGTAAAGATTTCGGAAATAACTTAGACAGATATATTAATCTCCTGCTGGATGGATCTGCCTTCACCCCCAACGTCTCCACCTTCTATTTCTTCTTCTTCCTTGGTTTCGGGAGGCTCCGGCTTCTGATACCTGTCGGCAGATGTCTCCATCCCCATGAATGACAAGATGATCCAGACAAGAGAGAGCAGCTGCGGACCTTCATTCATGTTCTTGGCATGCAAGTACCCCCTGCACCTACCCGCAGAGTAGCATAACATCTCTACCCATACCCCCTGGACCACCTCCCACATCTTCTGTTCATTGTGCAGCTCCATCAATTCTTTAGCAAGCCTGCATGCATTGGGGACCAAAGCTCCTATGTTGCGGGCGTGTGACGAGGGAGGCTGTTGCGCCTTGTGAAGAATTCCCTGCCCAAGTCCTCTTATGTCCGGTTCTAACTCGCCACCCATCATGAGCTCTATATCATCACATGCAACACTGCAGATACCGTTCCTACTCCCGAGCATCAGCATCTCAGGACGGATGGAGAGCAGGTAAGCCATGTAGTTGGATATCACTCTGCTTTGAGCAGCGCGCTCTTGGCCGCAAGGGGTTGTGCTTTGGTGGTGAAAGCACAGGTCTGTGGCGATGTGCCAGAGAAGGACGCTTGTATCGAACGCCATCTTCAGGCTCCACCCCAGCTGTTTGGTGTGGCCCAGACTATGGTTGTTCAATGTCCACTCACCCCTATGGCTGTTGAATCTCTTGTAGCTGGCAGCGTCGTGCATGTATCTTGTCCACCCATCCCTCACATATCCAAGGACCAACTCTGCAATCATCTCTGAGGAATCAGATGGTTCATGTTCTATATAACAATGCATGTTAACATAGTCCTTGCAGCAGACAACTGTGGCAAGCTTCATCAATGTAGTGGGCCTCTTCTTACGAGCATAGAATGACAAGAGGCTATACTGGCAAACCTTGATGAGCCCAGTGTATCCGTTGAAATCAGCGAGCAAGAGAAATAAGAAATCCAGCAGCAAGGTACAACATAACAGGATGTAAGTTAACTTGACATCTGTTGCGTCGTAGTCATGATATTTGTGGCTAGTGGAGAAGAGGATGACGGAAGCTAAGGTAAGAAATGGAAGCACGCGGTGCAACCATAAGCCAAGGCCCCAGAATATCATTTTGAAATTTGTGTAGAGCATCAAAAATAACCAGTGGAGCGTAAATTCGGAGACGAAATGTGTATGTCGGCAATCAAGGGCCATTAGAAGATGTAGGATTTTAATCCGACCAGAGTATGGAGTTGATATGTCTACCAGTAGCCTGGAGACATATGTTGCCATAGAGATTGAAGCTAGATGTTGGGTTTTCTCTTGATCACTAGCTAACTCTGACCGCAGTACGCAGCTGCTTGCTTCTTGTACAAATTCTTTAAGCGGAATGTCCTTCTCTTCGGCTGCTTCTTCTTTTTCTTGTCTTCCCCTGTCAGACAATTGAGTGGCATAAATGGAAATGTACGCTCCCAATACTAATGCAAACAAACCGTGTTACCTTCGCGTGGATGGAGAGGAAGAGGCGACCATGCCACTGATACTGGCATTCTTTAGAGCCCGTGGCTTCCGGACGGATCTGATGATCCCAACGACGAACAGCAAGATTGCGGCCTGAAGCAACCTCTTCTCCCCGGACCATGACTTGCAGAACACGTAGACGGCGACCGCGACCTGGGACACCACAGTTATGGCGTGCCGCGTCCACAACTCATTGTCTTCGATGCTGTAGGCAGTCATTGTGTGCTGGCCCCCGAGGTGGATGAGAAGGACAGGCGTCCACAGGATCTCCAGGCCGCTCGCATATGCGGGTAGCTGCTTGTGACGGTTGAAGAGGGTGGCCAGGCCGTATATCGCCAGAGCATCCCCACCTAGGTAGGCAAGCCACATGAACAGCCTGACCGAAGCTGGAAGAGCACACCTGCGCACCAGGGAGGAGAAGAAGAGGAAGTACTGGGTGAAGAGGCTGGCCAGCACCAGAATGCGCAGCTGCCACTCATCCCACCATTGCACAGCGTCAGAGAAACCCATACTATTTCTCCCTCTTTCCTCCTTATTCGCGTACCAGTGTAATGTTCAGCACGCGGCAATAAAACTCTACCAGCTGCTACAATCGACTTGCATAATTGGCGAGAGCGTGGTGAGGCAGCTGGCGGGTACAAGTAAGTAGAGCTTTGATCTTCCTTGTTTGGATTGAGAGGTAAGAATGGTTTCATCTCGAAGCATGTACGTAGTAATCGTTATCAGCAAAGACCTACACCTTGACCTGTGAGAGTGACTCAGCTGGGTGACGAGCTGGTCCAGAGGGCCAGATCTTTTGAGATACCGGTGGATAGTAAGACCAGATCAGTCATCAGCTGGTGGATAGTATGTATCCATGAATCTTCACAGTTGGACAAGTCGTTCCGATGTTGCTCTCAACTTGTACTGGTGTGCATTCAGCCACTAATTAGTACTAGTTGGGTGCCCGTGCGTTGCCACGGGACAACAAACTGAGACACAGAGAACAAACTTTGACATCGGATAGTGATCAATACATCATATAATTTGCTGACATAGAGTATTCAACAAAACATCATGTAATTCGCAATGTGTACACCACACACAGCTCATGAGTGTGTTGCGATAGGTATCATCATGATTCATTCTAAAACATGGGAAACATTAGTTATGTTCATGACCACATAACTAATATTTCCACTTCTGAAGATAGATAATTGTGCAACTCCATTATAAATGCTCACACTCACGATACCCTCAGGCCCAGAATCCTACTGTGATAAAAAATGAACATGACCCAGAAGATAAATAAACTTGAACAAATTCACCAGTGACCCTTGAAGGGGTTGTGCAGTCAAGGTTGTGCTCTTCGCTCCGCTATGAGAGAATGGCAACACCCTCACCTCAAGCTGAACCTAAAATGCAGCACCAGACCGAAATTTATGATGTAATATAAATTATGTTACTTCCATCCTAAACGGCTGCCAACTAACTTGATCAACATTGCAGCTCACAGCTTGTGGAAAAAATAATCAAAATACAGCAAGCTAGGTTCAGGTATAGAAACCTGCAGACTAACCTATTTGCGTTTTCCCGATTGACATAGAGATGCATATATTGCCCCCACTAATGGTAACCACAAGTAAAAGGAAGAAATTTTTATACATAACTCTCGGTTCAAATTCTCGTACCACAAGTGTATTTTGTTCCCATTTTCTGAATCTACAATTTTTGGTACATATGTGAGTGCACAGTACAGTCCTTGGCTTGAAATTATTAGGTCAATTTGGTAAGATACACCCAAAAAGAGTTTCTACTGAATTGTGTGATCAAAAGAGGGGAATGAGGGGCAACATAAAATGGATGGCAGAATGAAGATTATTCGGTACATGTGAACAAAGAGTCGAGGTCCAGCCAGACAACTTGTAAATTCGTATATGAACAATTACAATCATAAGAAAAGAAAAATAGTACCTCCTTTTGCTGAAGTCTTTTTTTCAGATCTTGCAGCTCCATATCCAGTTTTTCATGTATGGATGAGTGTTCTCTTTTCTTTTCTCCTTCGTTAACTTCATCTGAAAAAGAAGAGTGCTTATTAGAGAAAGTGTCACGAACACATGATATTGTTTCTGTAACTTACTTGACACTTTGAGTGTTCCTACTTCACAACCAGAACATAGATCGTCTATAAGCGCATGCCCTTATCCAGTGCAAGTTGATCACGCAAACAATTTCTGCAGGCAGCGGAGAACTTCTGCAGTCTTAGTTCAGCTTCCAACTGCTGAATCTTCCGTATATATACATCTTAATAAGGTCCATATTCTGCTCAGAAAAAAATATAACAATTCAAGTAGGGTGGCATGTCAATGTGCATACAAAACTATGCATCTAGTAATTGTTGGGTTGTAACCTTCCTTAGGCGAAACTTGTACAGGGAGAGCTCAATCTGCTGCTGAAGATTGCTCACATCTCGCAGAGTCAGCGAACTCTGGTCCTCACCCACATACTGCTTCATGATGATCTTAATCCTATTGCTCTCATTCTTCATCTTTGACATCTCATTGATGATTTTCTTTGCGGAAAAGAAAAGGAAGATTATTAGGAAAAAGCCAACGACGTTATTAGGTTTAAACTAAATTGGTGCACCTGCTGGACATCCATCTCATCAAAGCAAATGATGTGGGCTTTCAAATATCTGTCAAAGATGCTTGTAATCCTAGTGAGGCGGATAGAATTAAAACCGGGGAGGATGAAGAGAAGATGTGTACGTGCCTTGTATCTGTACATCACATCAACCACGAAAATTTACTTTGATTCTCTGAATACCAAATCATGAAATCAAACCATCCCGGCCCAGTGAACAAAAGAATCGATCAGTAGTAACGGCGATCGCCAAAGCAGCGCCGCCGGTCGTTTTTGCAGAGGGCGTAACAGCCGAGGCAGTAGGCGAGGATGAGGAGCGCGAGGGTGGCGGCGCTGGCACGAACTGCGGCCCTCCAGTTTCTCTTGGCGGTCGCCACCACGTCCACGTTGGCACGCCTTGCCCCGGAAGCACGTCACGGTAGGGATCGTTGCTCCACGCCTGGCAGTCCGCGCTCGTGGGTCCCTTGTATAACGTTGTGTTCACCGCCCTGGACCCTCAGTACGCCAGCTTGCAGCTGAGCATGGCTCCGGTGAGCTCCTGTGACCCTGGCGGACACGAGGTTGAGGAACGGGTGGTGCCGGACAGCTCAAGGCTTGAACCATGATGTAAGCCTGGCCAACACAGGATGGCGGCACGCCGACGACCTGAGCGGGCGCGAGCTCGAAGTGCCCCAACTTCCCTTCCTCAGGAACATGCTTGCGCGCCTCGCCGCAAACTGATGCGTCGTCGTCGCCGCGAACTGATGCGTCGTCGTCATCTCAGCGGCCGAGGTTGCTGGGTTGCATACGTGTGTATGTGTCCCGCTCCCGTCCCCTGCTCAAGGTGGAGGCCTAGCTTCCACACAGCCGGCCACCTCCGCGACGCGCGATCTGGTTCGACCCGCCGCCGAAGCTGAGGCCCGAGGGTGCCCTCGCGGAGATGAGCCGGATGATTGAGATCTAGTAACCGACCCCATCGAGACTGACGGAGCCAGCAACGCAGGGGAGCGAAAGGGTTGGGTCTTGGGTCGAGGGACTCGTCGACCTCGATGAAGCGGCTGACGCCGTCGGCTAGTAGCATGACGGACGGCGGTGGTGAATTTTCTCGGGATTGGGAGGAGCGAGGGGGTTGCTGGACGTGGGACGTGCGAGGTGTCCCTGTTCCGGGTCGTGGGCTCGTGGCTGTTTTTTTTTCTTATCGCGGTTTTCTTGTTTCCTTTTATTGTGGGGGAGAGAGGGATCGTAGGAGGGTGGGGTGGAGGGAAGCGAGGGGATGGTAGGAGGTCGAACCATCACGACGACTGCAGATTCCCCTTTAATAGTAGAGATGTACCGTCTTGGCAGAACGGTTCTTCGACAGAGATATTTATATTTTGTCATTTCACTTCTGTATTGACTCTGGAAGCCAAGAAAATTATTGTTACCGACTGGCTGATTTGTTCGTTTATGTGGCGCCAACCATTCATTTTCCTCCACGTAAAAAAATTATTCATTTCCCTTGACAAGAGCTCTGTTGGGTTATTTTAGCATACTGTTTTTTAGATCATGCCTTGGAGTATAGGCGCTCATGCCTTATAGTGTTATCTTAGCATGCTTGATGAGAAAATCTGGGTGGGTAGCGAATTGAGGGCAACTCATATGGTTAGAGCATCTTCAATAAAAGATGTATATTCGAAGATGTAAAAGTAGGTGTCATATAATTTACATCACCAAAAAATGCATTTTACATCTTCAAAAAAGTCCAAACTCCAACAGATGGTGTATATACTTCAACTGATGATGTATTTGAAGATGTAAACTAGTTCAACTCCTACATCATAATTTCTAACATAGCAAATTCCTTTGAAGCAAGCATATATAGTTGTCAAACACAATTAAACTAGTACATCCATCAAACTGCTAATGCTGCAAACCTACTCGTCGTCGCTCTAGAACCGTACCCAGTACTCCTCCTTGATGGGGTCGTCCTTGCTGGCTGTACACCACGTATATGTGCACACCACGCATGCAATGAAAGGCTTCGCTAATGCGTGATCTGCAAACACGCCATTTCTGAGTAGTCTAGACTGGGTCGTCGTCATTGATAAGAGTTGCCAGCCGGTAGACATGTGCAAGCAATGTCGGCACGCGCATACCGACATACATGTTCAACGATCGATGTCGGCATGTGGAGTGCACCGACGTGATGAGGATGTCCGCCGTAGGTTGTCCGGCCAGCTTGAGTCATGCGCACAGTAGCTAGTCTGGCTCGTCCTACACGACGTTGACACCATGATAAGATTACTTATCTTTTTTGAATCTAACCATGTTAAGATTCTTGCTCTCCACCACACATTACATACATGCATAACTGTTCGATCGACGACCTAGCGAGGTCAACAAACCAGACAAATTAAACTGTCATGTTCATCATAAGAAAAGGAAACAGTATTCTATTACTTAACCCACTATGAGTTCACACTTCCCACAACGTTAGAGTGGGATAGATTTCGAATTTAGACCTCCAACACCTTTTCTTAAGACTCGACTTTATAATATTTTTAATGCGTTCCAAGACTTCAGACGTCCAATATTTATTTAAAGGAAATGTTAACGCCCACACGTGTGGGCGTTTACAGATCGCCCACACGCATCCACCACCACTCATTTTGCCACGTATGAATACATGACATCAGCAGAAATCTTTTTGGTTTTTGGCTTAAAAATGTTTTATCTCCTAAATAAAAAAGCGAACTAAAAATCCGTTTTCACCATTAAATCCGTCTCGACGAGATCTTCAAAACTAGACCCCATGTTGATATGTTTCGACAAAAAAAAAAATTTACCCAGAAGTTGCCATGATGTTTACACTATAGTTGTCATAGTGCTTAAACTAAAGTTGCCATGTGGCAATTTTAGTTTGTAGATTA